GAGGAACGCCCATACTGTTTTCCATAATGGCTGTACTTATTTACATTACCACTAACAGTGTGTAGGGGTTCCCTTTTCTTCACATCCTCACAATACTTATCTTTCGATTTTTTAATAGAAGCCATTCTAACTGGAATGAGGTGACATTTCGTTGTAGTTTTGATTTACATTTCCCTGATGATTAGTGATGTTGAGCATATTTTCATATATCTGTTGCCCATTTGTATGACCTCTTTTGAGAAATGTCTATCCAGGTATTTTGCTAATTTTTGAATTATTTGGTTTTTTGTTGTTAAGTAGTTTGAGTTCCTTATATATTTTAGATATTAACCCCTTATCAGCTACATAGTTTATAAATATATTCTCCAATTCTGTAGGTTACCTCTTCACTCTTATTGTTTCCTTTACTGTGCAGAAGCTTTTAAGTTGGATGTACTCCCATTTGTCCGTATTTGCTTTTGTTGCTTGTGCTTTTGAGGTCTTATCCAAAAAAATAATTGCCCAGACCAATGTCACAGAACTTTTTTCCTATGTTTTATTCTTGTAGTTTTGTAGTTTCAGGTCTTGCATTTAAGTCCTTAATCCATTTTGAGTTTATTTTTGTATATGGTAAGAGATAAGGGTCTAATTTAATTCTTCCACATGGGGACATCCAGTTTCCCTAACAACATTTGTTGAAGATACTATCCTTTTCCCATTGTATGTACTTCACAACTTTGTCAAAAATCAGTTGCCTGTAGCTACATGGATTTATTTCTGGGCTCTCTATTTTGTCCCAGTGGTCTAGGTTTCTGTTTCTATACCAGTGCCATGCTATTTTGGTTACTATAGGTTTACAGTATGTTTTGACATCAGGTAGTGTGATACCTGTTTTGTTGTTTTTGTTCAAGATCACTTTGACTACTCAGCGTCTTTGGTAGTTCCATAAAATTTTAGGATTGTTTTTTCTATTTCTGTGAAGAATGTCATTAATATTTTAATAGGGATTGCATTGAATCTATAGATCATTTCGGGTACCTTGGACATTATGACAATATTATTTTCTCAATCCATGAGAGTTATCTAGCAAATTTCCTATAGATCTTGAGCCTTTATTATTTCTCAATTCCAGCATATTGTCAAGTAGGTTTGAATGTACTCAAGATGACACAGTTTGAGATATGTCATGGGAAAATTTTTATGAAGAAGGGCAAAACTTCAAAATTCATAATTTTAAGTTAGTAGCACTAAGAACCTGAAATCTTAGATGATAATAATTATGATGAATTCAATGATAATAAAAACTAATTTTTTTAGGATTTATTAATTCAAACACTGTGTCAAATGATTGTAAAAGTTTAGCTCAAGCATTCCTTATTATGACATCTAAGGTAGCCCCAAATTCCTGTATATTATACTGTGTAGACCACAGAAATGTAATAGAATTAGAATGTACACTCTTTAATTGTGTAGATATGACCATGATGTGATAAGAGACTAATGATAATCAATAATATTAGAATATTAACATCAAATGATCTTTAGACAACTCAGTTTATAGGACAGTATAAATTTCATACTTTTTAAGGAAGGGCTTATGGGATAGGTGGCAGAATAACTTTACAAATGGTTAAAATAGGCTATTTCAGTTACAAAATACAAATGATATCACTAATTATAAACGATAGGTGACCACTATGACATCACAATCCTCCTCAGCATGCCACACAGTATATAAATTCTGCAGAAACATGGCTCTATGGGGGTATTAAGTCCAATAGGAATGTGTGTTTGTCTTTCAAATGGACAAAGACTGGGGAAGGGAGGTAGAAATTCCACTGAGGTATGAATCACAAGACTGGGACTCTTGACATAGCTTTGCCTTGAACTGGAAGGTTTTTTTGGTCTTTTTGTTTTTATTTCAGCATATTATGGGGGTACAAATGTTTAGGTCACATATAGTGCCTCTGCCCCAGCAGAGTCAGAGCTTCAAGCATGTCCATCCCCCAGACAGTGCACACCACACCCACCAGGTGTGTATATACCCATCCTCTCCTCCCCGCTCCCATCTGCCTGACAACCAGTGAATGTTATTACTATATGTACATTTAAGTGTTGATCAGTTAAAACCAGTTTGATGGTGAGTACATGTGGAGCTTGTTTTTCCATTCTTGTGATACTTAATAGAATGGGCTCCAGCTCTATCCAGGATAATACAAGAGGTGCTATATCACCATCATTTTTTGTGGCTGAGTACAACTCCATGGTATACATATACCACATTTTATTAATCCACTCATGTATTGATGGGCACTTAGGTTGTTTCCAAATCTTTGAGATTGTGAATTGTGCTTCTATAAACATTCTAGTGCAGATGTCTTTTTTATAGAATGTCTTTTGTTCTTTGGGGTAGATGCCCAGTAATAGGATTGCTGGATGAGTCTAGTGGCTAGGATTCAGTGCTTTCATCACTGTGACTAGCTTTATAACTATAGATAAAGTCCATTACTTTTACCGAACCTGCTTTTTCAATCAGAAAACAAAGTGCTAAATGGAAAGTTCTATAAGATTTCCTTTAAAATGTTATAACTCAATATACAAGAATAAGGATTTTGTCAGTGGCTAAGGAGATCCAGGTAAGGTCAGCCACTGGTTTACACAAAGGAAAAATTACCAGGTTAAAAATAATTCCTCCCAAATGTTAAGAAGTGACTTCAGAAGTCTTTAGTTGACTTTGCTCAGCTCCTGAAGTCTTTAACATCTAGAATCCCAGGCTTACTCAGAGAGCAATTATCTTCCAGGTGATTGGAATTTACAACTTTAATCTTTGTTAGCAGAAAAATGGGTAATTTACTTTCTCTTTCCGTAAGAGACTAAACCCAGATTCTTGCTCCTGAAAAGGTATATGTGTAATCTGATTTTCTAATTTTAAGCTGAAACAAGTACACTTTTTAAATTTTGGGAATATTCCTTCTTCCACATAAAAGATTTAAAAATATGCAAATAAAAGTAGAGTTGGCCCTCAGTATTTGTGAGCTCCGCATTCATGAATTCAACAGTCAATCAAAAATATCTGAAAAAACTGGCTGGGCGGGGTGGCTCACGCCTGTAATCCTAGCTCTCTGGGAGGCCGAGG